TTTCCATTAATTTGTTTTTGTTTTTTTTTCTTATTTAGATTTTTGTCACTTTAATAGATTCTCCCAACAACTTTGGATGTAATGAGGATGAAGAGGAAGATTAGAGGATCTCCATCAACCAAGGAAGTATTCTTAACTTTTCGTCTTTATTTTTTAACATTGAGGACAATGTTAGTTTTAAGTTTAGGGGAGAATTTAAAATTTTAAGCTTTGTTTGTTTTTATTTACATGTTATGTTTTAGTTTTTAAGTTGTTTAGTTACTTCTGTTTAAAATTTCAGCAAAGTTTTTGAGAATGTTGACTATGATTAGTTGCACCATTCATTTTGATTTACTTATCCAATGAAAAAAATTAGTCATCTTATTTGCATCTCCCAATTGCAACAAAAATAATGAATGCTTTTATCTTTTTTGCATTTTGCATTTTTTATCCCTATTTATAATTGACATATAAATCTAGTAACATATTTCTGGGTAATAAATGTAGAGGAAAAGTGTTAGATGTCGAAACTTCAAGATCATTCGCAATTGAGCAAACTTAGATGACCACTTGAGTTTAAAGAACATTTGGATATTTGGATCCAAAATATTTTCAATCAAATCAATTTATAGAAAAGAGCGATATTTATAGTTTTGAAATTGTTCTTGTGGAACTTTCAATGAGGAAAAAACCCTTTTCCTCAACACGATAAGAGGAAGCGAGAAGCTTGATAGTCTTTTTTTTGCTTTCAAGGAATGAGAATTTCTTGTTTAATAAATATTCTTCATCCTTAAGTAATGAATGATGGTCCTCAAGAAGAGATTATAGTCGTTGCTAAGCTTGCAAAAAGATGCTTGAAACTTAAGGGACAGAATAGGCCGGAAACAAATTGCTATGGAGCTGGAGCGGATTAAAGCGTAAAGAAAAGATAATGTTTTTTGGCAAAGTGATGATGAAGATTCTGATATAAATGACATGATCAATCCTTGGGTTATGGCTTCTTGTTCAACTAGGTCAATTATAACTAATACCAACTTTACCATCCGACACATAATCCTAGTATTCAACACTCAGTAAACAATCTTCCTTTGCTGTGTACTTTGTCTAATATATCTTCATGTGTACTTGAGGTCTTCCTTGTTCTAAATAAATCATGAAATAAGTCTTGAAATAAAACGTCATGAAATAAGGCCTTATGCAGGGACGGAGTTAGCCAACTTTTATTTATTGGGGAGCCAAAGACAAAGAAGAATAAAAATTAAAAAATTTATAATAGATAATAATTTTATAACATGTAAATAAAAAAAAAAACTTATAATAGTGCTCTAAGAAAATTTTGTTCGATAATGATAATATCTTTTTTAATGTAAACAACTAAATTATTTATAAGAAACTTATCACCCATTTTGTTTTAAAGTTTTACCTTTCTCAATATAAACTACTAAAATATTAATGTAGTCAACATATAATATTCTTATTTTATTATATTTAAATTTATAATACTAAATATTAAACTATAATGGATAAAATATAAATGGTTAAATACAATAGACATAATTAATAATTTCTTCTAATAGTCAAGATAATTTTCTTTCAACTAAATATAAAACGTAAAACACATTAAAAACGTATACTCAAAATAATTTTTTCTTATATAATTAGGATTAATAAAAATAATATATTACTGAAATTTTAAACAATAACCAATAATGCAACATTAGAACCTATATTTGAGAATTACATATACAATAATTTTTAAATTTTTAAAAATTAAAATCATTAAAAATAAAATTCACATAACAAAAAATAAAAAACCATGACAAGTAGGAGATATAACTTATATATAATCAAAAATATATATATGGTTGATGATTCGTAGAAATTTAAAAGAGAAAATTTATAAAAACTTAAAATATATGAGCAAATAGAATAGAGTTGAAAAAATAAATTATAATAATAATATAAATTAATTAATTAAATAAAACTTTACCTTTTTATAATTTCACAATATAAGGATAGAAAAGAAAAGAGAAAAATATGGATGCATAAATTTAAAAAATTAAAAAAAATTTAAAAATTTGAATAAAATTAAACGAAATTTATAAATTTATTTCATTATTTTTTTAATTATATTAATTATTTAATAAAAAATTATTTTTAAAAATTATTAAAAAATATATAATATATAAAAAAGTTTAAAAACTTTGAGTGGGCCATCATAAAGGGATGCTCCGCCCCCGATCTTATATATTAAATTATTATTTTAATAAAAAACAAAGATATTAATTGTTCATATTTACATTCATAATTAGCATCATGAAACGCTAAAAGTAAAATTGACGACAATTATTATTTTATTAATAAATGCGACAATTATTATTTGCATGAGATAGAACAATAACAGAAACCCTGTAGGGTTTACCATAGAAACTTGGTTTTAAAGAGTCAAAACGCCCTTTCTGAGCTAGTTATACATATTTTTTTACACCGCCTAAGAGTGATGAAAAAAGACTTATTCACTGCATTGCTATAGGATGAGCAAAAACCATTAGCAAAACGTTTGCAACCTTGAATATCGATCATGGCTATACGTATAGAGACCTTTCTTATTTCAAATGTATATCCAAGAGGTCCAGTAGGATGAAGTACCAACCACTAATTTGGATCAAATTGTCACCCCATTGAAGATATAATCCTTGGCTCGTACAAGTGACGAGTTGGTGATGAACATCATAAACTTTTTGTTTAGGTAGAAGAACATTATAGACTTTAAAAGGATGATAGGTTGAATGGAAACAGCTAATCCAGTAAATTACTTTCAACGGTGCCGCCTTTTATCGTCTGTAGAACCAACTTGATGAGAAACGGTTAATGAATATTTATAGACCTATAAGATTGCCATTGCTCTTAGTTTCTAAAATAAAACGGCTAATGAATAATATGATGATAGGAATTTCGATACAATTTTCCTTTCCTGACTAGGAATGGAAAATTTTAATTTTCTTCTGCTGATTCCAACTCCGAATGATTGGCTCTCTGACGAAACAACAGTTTTTTCCTACAAGAAACAGTATTAGTGGTCCCTTTAATCTGTCGAAATGGGAGAATTCAAGGTGCGATGATTACAATTTTGTTTCCAGGGAACAAGCTTCAATGTCAGAAGGATAGCTGGGATTCTGAGAGTCAGTGCTTGTTCAATGAATAGATGGTAGGGCATTTATGCTGCAGTGCTACATCATGTGCGAGTCCCCAAATTTGGAATGCTTCAGTCCAGAATGTGATACTGGCATCCCCAGAAAATCATTGCATTATGGCAATTATTCTAAAAAAGACAAGGAAACTTCTTTGTCAAACTCCTTACACCATTTTGTGCCATACTTTTCTTGCTCTCTTGTCCCTTTGAGGACTCCAATTACTCATTTGTCTTAAGCAGAACACCCTTCGTTATGTATGACAAGAACAGAAAAAGAGACTCTAGTCTTGCCTACCATACATGAACCAGGAGCACTTAAAGGACTTGCTGAGTTGCATCAAAACGCATTGCCTTTCCATTTTGGCACCTAAGATTTTATTAGTTGCCCTTGATCTTTATGTACACTTGCTGCAGGATGAGTCTAACCAAATGCAATCGTCCAGTCTCCTCCAATTAGTCACTCATGTTTCATGAAACTGGAACAATTGACTGCTAGTGTCTTCTCCTGTTTAGAAATCCTTATCCATGTGTCCATTTTGCCTTCCTAATCATCTTTGGTTGTGAGAGGGTGCTAATGGGCACTTACTCGTATACCTCATTCTCTCATTGATTCACTTTTGGAAGAGTCAACTGATAAAAGAATAAATCAAGCCCTGTTTTGTGTCGTGTGCACCTGCTCTGCAATTTGCTTATAAGCTTTTTAATTATTGCTAATGCACAAAAATTAAGAATAAATCAAGCCTGCAGTCAACTAGGCATCATGTGCTATGAGAAATTCAAACCAAGTAATGCATCCACTAGAGAGGAACCCAACGCGTTTTCTTCTCATTATAAAATGGGAAATTCTGCGTTTAGTGTTTCTGCAAATAATTCTTTCTTTGCGTCCCTAACAATGAAAAATGTCCATTACTTATTGGAGCTTGGAAGTATCAAAAGTGTCAATGATTACAGAGTCGAGAGAGTCAACATTGCTTACACCACCTTCATGCAAAACATTAGACAGTTTTTAGCATGATGGCAGTATTACTTCAATCAGCAAGCAATCTAGATTTGGAGTTATGAATCAAATGAAGAAAATTGCTGTGTGTATCTTCAAATCACAGTAGTCAAACCTCAATAATGGATATTCTAAAGAGAATAAAGTGAGTTATATATAAAAATATGTATATATATATATATTGCAAGTTATGAATCAAATCAAGAACATTTATAAGGGCACAGAAATTATAAAAGAAACTAATACTCTCAATGTTCGAAGCTTCATCTAATGGATTAAACAATGGACTTAGTCCAAGTTGACCAAGTTAGTCTTGGATAATCTTAACTCTAAAGTTGACCAGTTATCTAATCTTAATTAATGGCCTTCAGACAATCTATGGGACAAAGGGAAGGGGCCTAGAGACACTGCAATAACCCTCAAAGAAACATGTAGGCTAGTTGGTACGAAGATAAGCAAATTGGTAAATGCAAGGTTAAGTTGAATGATATTTAAGATTTAGATGAGTATTTGATGTCTATAAACCAATAAGCATCAGGAAGTCATTGCTTAAGATGGTTTTAGTTGAAGACACGGGGCAATTCACAAGTTGCACTCATCTTTTTTGGGCTTCTTAAGATGGTAGGACAGATGTCTTGGAAAAGACAAAGCAAAACCATGTGAAACTTAACTAATTCCTTCAGCTGATATGTTTCTGAACATTCTTCATTGACGTATAGCTCACTATCTTATCCAGTTTTGAGGTTTTAAATCTTCCTATATATATGTAATTAGGTGCTAGAGATGCCATTTCAACTCACCAAAGCTTTCAATCGCTCAATCAACCTTTGAACTACATTCCTCCTTTCTTCTACAAAAAACATACCACTCAAAGATGGGCATCCAATTAATTGGATTAGTTCACGCCAAGCAAAAGCTCCAGCGAACCCTGTCAGCAAGGATTGGGAATGCAGAGGCAACATCAAATGTTCCAAAAGGCCATATTGCAGTTTATGTTGGGGAAGGCAACAGGAAGAGATTTGTGATTCCGATATCTTTCTTGAACCATCCTCTGTTTCAAGACCTGCTAAATCGGGCTGAGGAAGAATTTGGATTCAACCATCCAATGGGAGGTCTCACAATTCCGTGCAGTGAAGAGTATTTCATTAGTATTACTACAATCTTAAACTGTTCATAGTCATAGATGAAGCAGTACCACAAGGCTGCAGCAACTTATGTAACATAATTCGAGAGTTGAGACAATCAATTCAAGGCGCTGTCTTCAATTTATTCTCTGGTGCACGCAAATTCAATCCTATGCAATCACCCGTAATTTTTGTAAATTAAATTGTTGGCAATAAGTTTGATGACAAGAAAACATGTTCGATATTTCGCGGCAGATAGCAACTTGAATCAGATTGAAACTCCAACTGCAGAACGTATAGAGGGCTTTGTGTTTATGGGTTCTGAGTGGGTTTTAGGGCCTGTCTAGATGGACTGATATGAGAAGTCATTTTACTGAATAGGGAGTACCCCTCCTTGGGATGAATTTGCGAGTATAGCACCACAAATTCACCTCCTTTTTAATGTGCTAGGTTGAATTTTCGCCAAATGAAATGATATTTCAGTTGACCACCTTTCAAAGAGAAAATGGATACATTCCTCTTACCCATATATCCATTGATTTCACGTGTAAATCCTTCATATGGAGAGTACGGACACGGCCGCGTATGCATTGGAGAAGCAAAGTCTTGCTTGGGTTTTAGTTTAGTTTAAACTAGTTTGGAAATAGGCCGGAAGGCTTCGACAGCCAGATCCCTCGTTGTTGAAATAAATTACGGTCCGTGGCATCGGTCCAGGCCCCGCCCCGGGCCCGAGTCATAGTGGAAAAAGGGGTAGTGCTTACTTACTTAGCCATTGCCCGCTCGGTAAGCGAGTTTTAGTTCATTCTTATGTGATTTCTTTTTTCTTTTTTACACATTCATAGGATGAGCAAAGCCATTAAGAAAACTTTTGCAATCATGAATGATCATGGCTTGCAATGGCTTGGTTTCGTGATTTCAATGCACATCCATGAGACCCTCTGGATAAAAAGGAAAATTCTTGACTCGTAGAATGGCACTAAATACCAATCAGGATCAGTTGATGATGACCACCACAGACTTTGAAGGGGTTATACGTTGAATGGAAACATCCAGCTATCAAACAGCTATGATGATTTCTTTCTTATATATATATATATATATACACACAATAATAGAGTCAGGATTTCATGTTTGAAAAGATAAAGATAATATTTATAAAATAATTATAAATAAAAATATAAAATAATTTAATTGAAAAAAGTTCAGATTAAAATTACGTAAATAAGTCCAATTACATGTTAAGTACAACATAAAAATATTTTTTCACTTCATTACTTGTTAAAATTGGACATCTTTAATTGAGCTCAACGATCTTTCATAAAGTTAAAAGCATTTATCAATGAATCAATATCAAAGTCTCAAATGATTTTTCCTTCAATAAGAATGATCAATGAATTTATAAGAAAATCATCCGATATTCTATTACGAATCTTGTTCTTAATGATTTTCATTGCAAAAAATGCACATTCTGATATTGCAGGGGAAACTAAAAAATTCAATACAAGTTGGATCAATCTGTCAATAAGGAAGTGACTTTTGAAATTTTCATCTTTTTCAACACTTGACATAACTTATAACATGTGGATACATTTTTTAAGGCTTGATTATAAAAAATGTCAAGTTTGAATAAATCCAATTGATAGCTTAGATGCATTTTATATGGTAAGCAAAATCATCAGAGTAATATTTATTTATAAAGTTGCAAATAGTTTAAATATCAAATGATTCGAAACCATGTTAAGGGTCCAAATATGTAAGAAAAAAGAGAGTTTTTTGTTTCTATTTGATAAAAGGAAAAAAAGAAAAAAAGGTGTTGGTTGTTAGGTTTTAAAAAACTAAGGTTTGGACATAATTCTATTGTAGTACGTTTTATTTTAATTTTAAATTTATTAAACTTAATTAATAATTAATTATTTATTATAAGACTTCTCATTAAACATAATATTATTGTAGAAGTAAAATTATAAAATTTCAAAAAATATAAACCTAAGTTTATAAAAATTTTAAAATTATTGGAGGGCGCCAAACCCCATCTCCGTCCGCCTATGGTCTATATGCCCATATGGATGTGATCTGCCAATGCTTGCAAGCCATGGCTTTGACAAAGACCCTTTTATAAGCGTGTCAAGCCACAAGACTCTGCGTATTGCAATGGTCGGTTTCTACTAGTTGAATAGATACACACCCTCTTTTACAACCAATGAACCAAAGTATCAACACGTCTTATTACCGTGGATAGTTTAATTTACGAGTTCAACGTAGTAACACAGGTAAATTATGACATAGCTTTTCTTTTTCTAAGGAAAAATGTTTCTCTAGAGTTTTCCCACATTTGGATAAACTAGCTGTCCCTTTTCGAGTAACAGTCTGATAGAGGCCAGACAATTAGACGCAGTATGGTGGCACAGTGGCACTTTTGTCTTCTATGGAAGAACAAGCCTCATTGCCAGCGGAATAGCTGGGATTAACTTAAATTCCGCGCTTGTTCGATGTACAGGCGGTAGTATTGCTAGGGCATTCTGCTGCAGTGCAAAAATCATGTGTATGTACGGTCAACAGCGTGTCTAAATATGATAGACCAGAAAATCAATATTGAAAAACTCCTCATGTCCTTTGATTTGTCATAATTTTCTTTGTTCTCTTGTACCTCCGGGAACTTCAATGACTGGATCGTTTGTCTTGACTCTTGAGCACGACAAGCTCCTGCCATATTTAACAATTATAGAGAAGATAGATCTAGTTATAGTATATTATATATATATATATATATATATATATATATGTGAACCACGTTCAACAGGACATTGCAACATTGCCACCAAAGACTTGCCTGCTGATCTTGGTCCTAAAGTAATATACACAGTCCTGAAATAGTTTAAACCAATGTAACCAAACCCAATCTTGATTTTGGTGGGGAAGACTTGGTCTTGATTTTGGTGGTGCTGGGATCTTAATTTTAGGCTTTTTAGTTGCTTTGAATGATGTATATGTCAGATTTTTGCATCAGTATTATTTTGTTTGTTTTATAATCTTTATAATTACATATTTTATAAAAGGGCATTTTCAAAAATAGTCCTCAAAAATGAAATATTTTAAAATTTTCACTCTTTATAATTTTAATTATTTTTAATTAAATTGAATAAAATTACTTTTAATGAAACCTCATGTACATGATGTTACAATTTATGTATAAAAACATATTACATGCCATGCATTATATCAAGTGCACATAATGTTATACACCATGTTGAAAAATGTTATTATTATACATCATATACAAAAATATATTACACGTCATAGTTAAAAAAAGTTATTACATACTATGTTGAAAAAAAATATTAATTACATGTTATATACAAAAATATGTTACACACCATGGTTAAAAAAAGTTGTTACACGTCATGTAGAAAAAAAAATCGTTACATGTCATATATGAAAACATGTTACATGTCATATTTAAAAAAAATATTATTGTTACACATTATGTTAAAAAAAAATTATTGTTATAGGTCATGTTTAAAAAAAAATCGTTACACTTTAATGTTTGAAATATTGTTGTTACTTGCGAATCAAAATTTCCAATCCTTTCAACTCTCTTCATTTCTTTTTGTTTTTTTTTACGATTTGGCACCGATTAAAACATTTTTAATATGGTTTTGTAAATCAAACCACAATTTTCCTTATCTAAAATACCTATTTCAACTAAATATCGAAAAAAATTTTCCTTTGAAATCTTAGATTTTTAAATTCAAAATTCTTGAGTTTATTAGTATCTAGATCTTAAATTGATTGAATTAAAAACTATTTCAAACTCTTGTGATCATTTCTACCATTTTAGTTTCCTCCAAAACACCTAAAAAATAAATTTTTCCAACAGCCACCAACCCCAAGTACATCAAAATCATTGCTTGGCGTCTTGAATGCCCGAGAGTGAAAAATTGAAAGCACAGCAAATGGATGTTGAAAAGAGAAATAGATAAAATTAGAGAGAGTTAGATAATGAGAAAGAGAAATCGAAAGCAAAGATGAAAATGAAAAAATTTGTAATAGATTATTTAATTTATTTGACATAGTTTCAAGGGTATTTTAATCAAGTTATAGCTAAAAATAGTTAATTTTATTTTAATGGTTATTTTTGAAATTAAGTTATGAAGATGACATTTTTTACTATTTTCTCTTTTATAAAAAAATTAGTCTTTTCATTTGTTAAACTTTTGTATCGTAGGTGATATGTTAATATAATTTTCTGATTTAGTAAAAATTAAAAATCAAACCCAATATCCTCCCATAGAGTGCAGTAGTGAAGGGTTAAACATTCACCATCATAATTTTTTTGCAAAACTGGAAAATTTTCGAATGTGTTTTAAAAAAAAAAATTGAATCACTAGAAACTTTTAAGTTAGTCATCTAGTTAGGCTTGAGGTTGTTTATGTCATACATGGGCACGAGAAAAGATTAAGAGCATATTTAGTTTGTTTTTTTTTTAAATTTAAAAGCTATTATAAAGCTTTTATAAAAAATAATAACTTTTAAAATTAAACTAAAGTTGTTTAGCAATATACTTTTTATAAACTCTTTTTTATAGATAAGCTGTTTGGTAAAACAACTTATATAAACTCTAATTTTAGCTAAAATTACCATAAAAGGTACTTAATAAATAAATTTTTATTAATAACAAATTTCTTTATTCAAAATAAAAAAATTAACTTTATTTTTTATCTATTTAAAGTAAAATTTTGAAAATATTAAAAAGATTTTTATATAAGATAAAGTTTATAATTAATAATAAATCATAAAAAAGTTTCGTAAATAATTTATAAGTAACACATAATTTATAAATGACTCTAAATTAACGATTTCTATTTTTCATTAATGTAGCAGTTATTTGATTACAAACTCTTTCCATGTAACTATCATCTAGTGCTCTTCTAAAAATATGTGAACCCATTTCTTTAACATTACTACTTTCTTCTTGACTCTCAAGAATATGATTGGGATTCTGATCACATCTGTCAAACTCATCATCTATAACACCACATTGTCTAACATAGTTAATTATGTAGTAATAATTCAAAAAAATCACATTTAGTTATTGATGTTCTTACCAACAAAATTCACATCCATGAACAATATTATCACAACAACCATGATCAGCAAATATTATCTCAATTTTCATCTAATTTATCTCAACAACTATTGATCTATTTGATTAATTATTTCAATTATAATCATCAAATATTATATATATCATAAAAAATTTAAAAATAAATAAACATAACATAATTGTCATATCAAATAATAAACTGAAAAATATCAACTAATAAAGAGAGTTTTCAAAGCCCAAAAAAATTGATAGAAAATAAAATGAAAAACAAAATAGAAAGAAAAAGAAGAAATAATACTTAAATGTAGTTTTGAATTTTGAATCTTCTTTTTATTTTTTAATTTTTGTAAGAACAAAAAAAACTTTAGAACGATGATTTGCAAAAAGGGAAAGAGGAAAGGGAGATTGATAGGGAGAGAGAGAGAGTATTTTTTGAGCCAGGATCTTCTTGGAAAATATAATTCTCCTAATAAGCTAACATGTTTTTTTTTTAAAAAAAAGAAAAAGCTTCTAATTAGAGCTTTTTTTTTTAAGTTCTTTCTTTTAGATTTTATTTTTTAAAAAAAATTATTTTTTAAAATGCTTTTCACCAAATCCTGTTTGACTCGGCTTTTATTTTTAAGTAATAGATAAGATAAACATAACTTAGGCCAAATAGGTACTAAAAATGGAAAGAATGCATCTACGGAAGAGGAACCAAACAATAATCAAGCTGAGAAGTTCTTCGTTTAGTCCTTTTACTATAAGTTCCACCTGGCTGTCCCTACTGTTGAATATATCAATAGTTGGAACTTAGAATTATCAGAGGTGTCCCAATGATAATAATATCGACAAAGAACTTGATGGTTACACTTCACCGTCATGCATAGACTGGGCAGACCATTCACACACATTCAGCTTTGAAAATGTAGATGCAAATGCATGTAATTCACATGTCTAAAATAGATGTCGTCGAACCATATACCGACTGGAAAATCTTGATTAAATTAATGTAGATATTGTAGTACTAAATCTAACTTATATTGGTATTAAATTATAACTACTTCAAAGCAAGAACCTGACTAGTGGATATTCTCTAGTAAACTCTATAACGAGTTATTTCTATTATGAACTTTGATTCAAATTAAGAAATTCAATAATGGTGGTGATTTTGAAAGTATTGGGTTATTAGCTCAACTTGATAAAAGGTAGTCATTGCTGATCTTGACTTCTAAGAATAAATGAGAAGAACTACTATTACATAAGTAATTAGCTAATCTTAAATAGCTTTGAGCAAGGGCAAGGAAGGGACCTAGAGAGATAGCAAGTTTGCGACGACCCAGCTAGTTTCGTACAAAGAAAAGCAACTGAGTAAAATTAAGTCTAAGTTCAATTCTTCAGTAAATAGGCGAAGTGAATCATCAATATCGAGTTAAGATGGAGATGTCTTTGATGTTGAACATGCCTAGCATCATAAAGTCAATGCTATGTTAGTTCAAAACACAAGGGCCTAATATATCCGTATTTCATACATAATTTCAAAGGTTTTTTACCACTTATTTCTAATTTTCTTAAAAAGGTAGGACAGAATGCTTTGCAACAGACAAAACAAAACCATGTGAAACTTAACTAATTCCGTCAGTTGTTTTTCCAAACATTCTTCTAAACTTTTCAAAGGTTTGAAGTCTTTCCATATATAGAGATTTAGGTAGTGAAGATTCCATTTCAACCCAAGTTTTCGGTGTCTAGTAAACTAAAGCTTTCTACATATCGAAGATGGTATTCAATTAATTGGGTTAGACCACACCAAGCAAATGCTCCAACGAAGCCTTTCAGTGAGAATTCGGAAAATGTTGGCGACAACAAATGTTCCAAAAGGCCATATTGCAGTGTATGTTGGAGAAGGCAGCAAGAGGCGATTTGTGATTCCTATATCTTACTTGAACCATACACTATTTAAAGACGTGTTAAACCTGGCTGAGGAAGAATTCGGATTCAACCATCCATGGGCGGTCTCACGATTCCATGCAGTGAAGAATATTTCAACAGTCTTATTACAGTCTTAGGTTATTCATAGATGGTAGCCGAACGTACCACAATGATATGCAGCAACCTATATTGAACATAATATTAGAGTTAAGGTAATCGAGGAAGTCTCTTCAAGTATGTTTTACTTAGCATACTTGCAAATTCAACCCTTGTTGAAACAATCGAGGACTCATAAGTAGAAACTTTTGGGTAGTATTGTACTAATTCTTTGCTGACAAGAAACTTTTCTGTTAGCAAAGTTGATCATTATCGATCTAATGTTTGCCGAGGTTCTGTAAGTACTAATTAAAAGATTAAGAGGTATAAGCATATGGTGTGTGAAATTCTGGGTGTAATGGTTCCATAATCCATAGCAGTAAACAACTTGAATCACATTGAAACGAATCTCTGTCAGAAACCGCTCAGAGGGTTTCGATTAATCTTCAAAAAGATAGACGTTTTCAATATTAACAATGAACAACAAAGGAATGTTGTGCCTTAAGTTGAAACGAGAACATTCTTGTCTACCAATTCCTCAGCCAAGAGTATTCTTTCTTGTCTTTGCAGATTTTCATCAATTATAATTGCGACTACCAACCTGGCCACGTTCTTTCTTGTATTCGACACAATGCTTGCTAGGTTTTCTGTTTTAGCCTAGTTAGTGGACGGTTTGTCGTGTCTCTCACGTCCAAATTGTTGAAACTTTCTTAAGTTATAACCCTCCTGGTGCCGGTCGTATAAAGTAATGTAAAATATATATATATATATATTTTTCTCTCGACCTTTCCGCTAGTATCAACTATCAAGATATGAGATTGAGATAGAAAAGAAATACTGCTGCCCTGCCCTGCAGCAAACGACTTTGGCCGACTAGCTGGCCTGACTTAATAAATCCTATCTCATCCATTCTCTGCAATCCGTATCCTCTCATAAAAATTTTACATGGAAAAAAGAGAGGGGAACGTTGCGTTTTGGCTGGGTTACCCATAACACGGTGCTTTGCTCGTGAATCAGATATTGGGCTAATTCTAACTACTTCCCATTCAGGAGGCAACCTAATGAACTTTAGGAATGATTATTATAGAATTTTCACATGACTAATATAAATCCATTTGAAAAAAATGAAATCCAAGAGCGCACAAAGCATTGAAATATTTGAATTGGTTTCCTTACCATGAATAAACGGTAAGACCACTCTGAGGTCACTCACTTGCAATCTTGCATTCCAGGCATGGTGTTGAAGATAAAACTCTCAAAATTATTGCTTTAACATAAAATATATTATATTAACATAATGTTCATACTCCTACAGGAAATCCAAACAGGAAGCAAAATTTTGGACCCTTGACTCATTAACAAATCTCACTATATATACGACAATGGAAGATCAAAGTACCAAGAAAGCAAATCAAATTCCAAGTAGCTTCTTAGGCATATTGATTTATTCGAGAAGTCAGATTGATGAATTCATCTTCAGCGCAAGGAACCATGAGACCACCCATCGGACAATCAAAACCAAACTCTTCTTCAGCCTGACTCAACAGGGCTTGGAACAAAGGATGCTTCAAGTAGGATATTGGAACCACAAATCGCTTGTTCTTTTCTTCATCTCCAACATAAACAGCGAAATGGCCTTTCGGGACATTCACTGCACTCGATGTTTGGTAAGAGCATTGGCGCTTAGAATGTGACCGTTGTCGGATAATATGCTTTGCATGAAGCATCATCTCAGGCAACCGAATCCCCATTCTCCTCCGGGTCTGAGACATTGCAAAAGAAAATGAAAAAAAAGAAAAAAGCTTTTCTTCTTTCAAGTTAGGGAGGTTTTTACCGTTTCTGGTTTTGGCGCTTGGGTTTATATAGGGGAGACAAATATCAACGGGGGGAGCACAGACATTAATGCATCGATAATTTTTGCATGCATGAAAATATCAACATGTGCTTTGTCTTTGTGCTTGGAAATCGTAAAATATTACAACTTGGGCGCTACAAAATACAACTACTTCTAGGAAGCCTTATTCCGCCCACCGGTTTTCACATCCATGAAAGGATTTCACCGGTGCTTTTGTTGCATGTTCCTTATGTCAGTAGCTCAATGAAGTGGTTAGTTTTCTATAGATCCGGGAATTCGTGCATCAAGACTCATGGTTTTTGGCTTTTTCTCTTTCTTATAATGATAGCTTGGAAAAAATTTGATAATTGTACTGAACTTGGACTTTGCTTGTTCTTCGAACTGCGTCCCATACCTGTTGCATGCGTGCTCAGGGATTTGAGCAGCCTTGTCTATCTCTCTTTTAGTGCCTATCCAATTCTTTAATAGATAGATAAATGTTTCAACATTTAAGAGCCAATGCGTGAAATTGTGAGACTGGTCGCCAATCTATGGCGTTAGTCGGTCGGTCAGTCAGTGCATTCATCATGCATGTGAGTATGCATTATATGTATTATATCCCACAAAAATGGCAATGGTCCCGCAGCTGCTATCCTGCAAATTGGCGTCTGACGCCAATATCTCTCTAGCTATGTATTTGTATTTCCTTTTTTTTTTCATCTTTCTAATTAATTTGCTGGTCAAAAAGTTCAATAATTTGATCACTTAATGATCTTAATTTGTCATTATATTGTCCATTAGTTACTCATGAAAAGAATTAAAAAAGTTGAGATTTAAATATGCTCATCTTTTTGCTTAAGGGAAAACAGCTCTTCAGCTTTCTTGCCATTTAACTTTAAAAGTTTAAATTTCATGATCTTCATCGTCGATTGGTTTTGTACGCTTTTTTATAAGTGTACAGATTTTCATTATCTAAACCATGTTAATGTGTTATGAAAAATTTAATTCAATAAATAAAAAACTTGAAATAACTTATAGATCGTTAAGATTAATAAAATCACTTGAAATAATTACTTAAAATAAAATAGAGAATTCAATGCGCTAGCCAGCTAGCACCGCATGGCAGAAAGCTGGATTCACTTCCGTGCTTGCTAAGCATTTTTCAAGTCCACTGCTCTTGGCATGTCACATGTGCCCCGGTCAAAGACTCTTTGGACCGATTCGACTTAATTACCAAAAATGAACTTCAATATAAGCAGCCAAGCCCTGCATGTTTATCAATTACGACAATGGACAACGTGTAACTCTTACTCCACGAAGACTTGTAAACACCCAGAAATGGACTTAACCGTAATAAAAGGTTAAATTCAATTAATGGTTCTCAATCTGTCTATATTGGGCTGATGAAAAGCTGTTGACCGCCCGCATAGAACAAGATAAGTACCACATCGTGGCACTTAGAAGTACCAATTAAGGACATATGAAAGGTACCTTTCACTAAGTTTCTTTCATAGAAATCCGTCACTCGAGCATGTTGCTCTGGACTTTTTCTGAAGTACGGCCCCCCGTTTTTGCAAAAACATGATGGCTAAACCTGCTTTTGGGGTGAGCTTGTTTGGACCAAGGAGTTAAACGGTCTATTTCACCGATATTGGTCAGGAGAAATTGGTAGATGTATTGCAGATAGATATGTAAGTTAAGTAACATCAGTCAACTGAGCAAAGCCATGTGATTCTTTGTTGCAGAGGGGCCCTCTAAAATGTCCCAGCTGCCAATATGGTGACGAGTCAAGCCAATTTGGTTCTTTATCGAAATTGAAAATGATGGCACTTAAGCGTCTCCCATCCTCTCCAAACTCTACAAATACAAACACATTATCAGTCTTCTAGCTCCAAAAACGTGCCAGGATTTACAAGTTATACTACAACCTTTGAGTGTTAACCAGTTCTATCTCATATTCAGAAACCGATCTATATATATCTCCTTGTTTTTCCATTTTTTACTTCAAAATTCGAAATTATGGGTGTTCGTATACCGTCCATGATTCCCAGCGCCAAGCAAATTCTTAAGCAGCAGCCTCTTGTTACAAGAGAGAGGCCACCTGTTCCGAAGGGCCACATTGCAATTTATGTTGGGGAGACAGAAAGAAAAAGGTTTGTGGTTCCAATAACAGTCTTGAACCATCCTTCGTTCAAAGACTTGCTTAAGCGGGCAGAGGAAGAGTTTGGCTTCAATCATCCGGTGGGTGGCCTAACAATTCCGTGCAGAGAAGACACCTTCATAAATCTCACTTCCCGATTGCATGCCTAAGAAGGGATGAACATTGCCAATCCGATCACAATTTTGTTTTTTTATTTCTTTTTTCCTTTGTGAAGAGAACAACAGCTGTAAACCCTTGTGTAGTAGAATAGGCAGAGAAAAATTGCTTTCCCTCAAAATCATCAACAAAGTTCTTTTATCTAAACTCCTTTATAATTTTTAGTATCAGTTCTTCATTTTAACATGTTAAAACATTATGGGTTAATTTGAATAAATACAAATTCAGTTATCCAAAAATAAATAAATTATGTTTTCATACATAAGAACAATATTATCTGAATTTGGAACCTTTTAGACGGGTTGACAATTAGGCAAACTTATAGACTAACTTTAATTTACTTTCTTCTCATGTTCCATTATCTCTCTGTCTTTTTCTTGGGACCAACAGAAGATAGATGAAAGATTTATTTTTGTAAATCGTAAACAAGATTAGCCACTAAAGACTAATCAAAAAAGGTTATCCACTAAAGTAAGGTTTTATTCAGCCATTTTAAAGTCTTTAGCAAAAGCCATTTTTCTCATGCTTTCTAATTATTTCTGTCGGTCATCTTTTCTCCTGTCACGCATTAGGAATTTCCTTTGCTTCGACATCTTTTTTCATTTTCTTTTAAAATAGAGGAAGTAGAATTACTGGAGAAGCTGTGGATATTTCACTATCTCTTTCTCCAACATTGAATTTTTGTTGTTATTGTTTTTTACAAAAGTTTTACTTTTTGTTCAAAAAGAAAGAGACTGAATCCAACTCTATTTGTTTTGCTCTCTTTTTTTTTTTTTGTTAGAAAAAATCTAAAGAAAGGAACAAAGTCTAACCCTTTTGTGGGTACTCGTTATAAATTCTTCTTCTTCTTCTGTTTTTTGTTCACATTTGTTACCAACTCTTTTTTTATTTGTTTCAGAGTCTACTCCTGTATTCTGGTAGAATTGTTAAGGAATATTTTTTTAGTTTTTAATTTTACTCTCACGCCAGGGCAATTTAAAATTTGTTTTGGAAACTTGTTATAGCTCTAAAACCCCTTCTTGAAGTCACCCTGTTAGAGCTTTAAAGTTTACACATGGCAAAATGAGGAAGTCCAATGTTATAGGTTTTCAAGAAAAAATAAACTTTTTAACTTGATTATCTGTCAATATTTTTATAAGCTGATCATTAATGAATAATTTTGATGTTTGCTTGACATGGCTTGTATTTGACCCTTTAGCTTTTAACCAGGAGACAAGACAATGCTATTTCGAGTTAGATTGTATACAATTCACTATTGATTTGCAGATAGATGAATATCCTTTGAAGACTATGGTTTAATTATGCTCCAACAGGTAGAATTAATATAACTTTGGTCAACAGGGCAAAAGTTGGCATCAAAATCAGGAGAAAATTCTTGTAAATGTATAAATCATGCATGTAACTGCGACTATTAGAAAAAGAGTAATCAATTAACATACTACTTGCCACTCTAAAGTCTACATCTCTCTATCCTGATCAGTTCATTATAGGAGTATTTTCTTGACTTCCAATCAAATTGCCATCCAAAGTTGAATTTAAGTGGCACAAGCAAAGTTTAACATGAATTGTTCCTTGCAGTGTAAGATTTTTGGATTCTCGCACCATCTCAAGCTAAATATGGAACTAAGGATCCAACAAGATAGAGGTATAGAGAATCCCAATGGTTATATCACATACTATAAACAGCAAGTTGCTTTGCTCAGAATTATTCTTAAAAGGTGGCGACCTTTGTTGTTTCTTGGTGCATTACGTCAGTGATTCAACTTGATCGGTTAGTTGCTCCAGATCTCCAAGAATAAACCCTGAACTTTCAAAAATTGCGGAACCATGTTGTCTTGCTTATATGCTCTTTTTCTCTTTCTTTACCCAGATTCATAAACTCCAAAACCTTATCCTCCCAGCAAACGAAGAATTTCAAGTGCATGTCCAGTACCAGGTTAATTAATTCCAAAATATATAGCAGGCGCCGATTGGAGAGATTCAGGCAGTCAATCAGTACACTTGTACATATACGATCATCTACCCATCAAATTATTGCCCTGAAAATTGGCAGCCTGCAGCCACTCTTTCTACCAATTGGTGCTCGTGACGCCAAGTCATCCATCCATCCATGCTTCTTTTGATACTTAATTATCAAGATTAGTAAGTGCAGGTGAATTAGGTTCACTAGCATTAGTAAACAGTGAGTGCGGTTGTTAACTTGTCATTTAGCATCAGAATGTGGGTTTTGAGTATCAAGCAGACTGAAATTTTTGACAAATAGATCTATTGAAATTTGAAGATGAGACCCATATTAATGAAAAGACAGATGCTAGTATCTGCAATTTATTGCTGGACTATGGGACCGCTGTCAACAACCTAACAGGCGCAGGGGGTTGGGGAGATAAGTTCTAGGCAAAGAAATCATAAACTCTTGCCACGACTGAAAGAGAAATCCAGATTTGACCAAATTGAAGAAAAGTAATTTAAATCAGAATCAATGCTTTCAACACCTAAATAATCCAAAACTTTGGATTGTTATTTAGTCAGGACACAAACGCACCACAAATCAAATGGTTGGAATGGTATTTAGGTTGTACAAAAGGACAAACATGAATATGCCTTTCAAAGTTTTCTTCAGCAAAAACTCAACACATGAATATGCTACCGATTGTTTTCAGGCATCAGCATTAGAAAAGTTGTGGAGGTGACATAAATTTGGAGAATGGCTTCAAAAGAACAAGTGGACATAAATTTGGGAAATTAAGTAATGAAAGAGGGAAAGAAAGTTAACCTAAGTGAATAAGTGAGCAAAGCCCAATTGGGAATATGGGTCCTCCTAGGAACGGCAAAACATGCTGACTATAAATACAAACATCAAGCCAGCCTTCCAGCTCCAACCTCTTTCTCAACTTAACTCTCTAAAGTCCTTTCAGCTAAAACCTGCTTAGATCAACTCCTCCTTTTCTAAACTTCTATTCTCAATCTCAAAATATGGGTTTCCGTCTGCCATCCTTGATACTCAGTTCCAGGCAAATTCTGAAACATCGTTCTGGCTTCTCTAGGAAACAACCTGATGTGCCAAAAGGCCACGTCGCAGTTTATGTTGGAGAGGAGCAGAGAAAACGTTTTGTAGTTCCAATTTCATATTTGAACCATCCTTCATTCGCAGAATTGCTCAACCGCGCAGAGGAAGAGTTTGGCTTCAATCATCCAACGGGTGGCCTGACAATTCCGTGCAAAGAAGATGCTTTTATCAATCTAACGTCTCAGCTGCATTCCTCATGAACGATGATGAACGCAGAGCAGCTCGGACACCTTTGACAAGTTATTTTCCGTTTTCGCTACAAGTTATAAATTTTATACTAATGGTGGATGTGTAAATTTTAACACATTAACAAATGAAGTTCTTGACCCTTCACGTTATCTTTTTTTCCTTGACCTGCTAGTGAAAATTCTGCTTTAATGCTAATATCACCATATATAATTTAAGTAATGCTGATTGATTACCGAAAAATTCAAATTATTTCGTTAGATTACCATAGTAATCAGAGTTGCCAATAACTTGTAGAGACTATACAACAAGAAGACAAGCAAAGTATGACAGATATTTGACTTGGCTGGTCAAGACATGCATATCTGTCTGTGTTCATTAATTAGCAATGACATAAGTTGTCCTGTTGCTCCATAAATTTGTTCAAAGCAAGGAATCTTATTGCCGCTAGCTTGTTGAGGAAAGAACCAAACTCGTCCTACTTCAGTGAGCGAGGCCTGGAATTAATGAAGGATCCTCTGAGAACCAATCTTCATACATTCTAGATTTTTCACTACACTTCAAAGAATGAGAGTGGTGCAGGGGCAGGAGCAGGAGGAGACTAAGAATCTGATGTTATCATTTATAACATCCTCAAGTTTTTACCCAAAAATTTTAGCCGAGTATTCGTATCTCTCTTTACTTATAACCTAAGTAATTAATCAAGATCAGTTCCACAAATTGGCCCAATCAGCAAAATGGACTAATCTAGGAAACCCGTCGTATGGATTAAAGCGGGTGGTTCTCTTCTCAGGGGTTGTTAAGAATGATGGAGATGCATCTGCCCGTTAGACAGTGCTAACAAGGACATGTGAAAAGCACCGTCTCCCCTCACATAGAGCGGAGAAATTGCTCTTTTCCTAGACAGAAGCAAATCAACATAGTACTATATTCGTAAATGCTTGAAGATGCTAGTAGACTCTAGCTGCCCTAGATTTTCAAAGTGTACGGCCCTCTGTTTTGAAGCATTGAATTTTGATAGTGCCTTGGCAGTGTGCTTGTACTTTTGCTGCTAAGAGGAACGAGTGGGTCTGTTGCACCAGGGCCGTAGGTCGGTGAGCGAATCCGAGAGAGAAAAAGAGAGAATTATTGAGCAAAACCATGTGAATGTGACCCTTTTGGGTGAATATCACACGTGCTTGTTGACATTTATGCAAGCGATTTTATGGATTTTTAGAGAGTTTTCTCTTTAAGATTGGCAATCCTCACAATTTTAAACAGGCTTTAATTTTCTTTCTCTTTCTTTCCAGTATTTCTTAGAGCAAGACCAAAGCAATGTTATTAATGGAGAAGCTCTTGCGTACAGCATTTCATTAACTGTATATGATCCAACTAAAATCATCAATTTCCGCAAATTTCCTGCTTTTCATGCTTTGTTTGTGCAAATTGTTTTCGTTTTAAGCACCAAGGCATTGAGAATTTCTAAACACTTGTTTGTCACCAAGGTTAACTACTTAAGTGTTATTTTGACATATAAAATGTTCCTTAACTATTCTCGATTCAAATAAATATTTATTTTTTCATTATGTTCAATTAAATATATATATATATATATATATATAGAGAGAGAGAGAGAGTGCCGGCTCTAGGTAAAGCCACTAAAGTGGTCGTTTTGAGTTCTCAAACTTTCAGTAGGCCCTTAATTTTATAATAATAACATTATTAACTGTATTGAAAATATATAAAAATTAAAATAATTATTAAAATATCTATTTATTCTCTCAAGTTTAATAAATATTTATTATTTCTTTTATATTTTTATTAATTTTTAATTATTTAACTTATTTCTCATGTAAAAGTCAAGATAACTAAAAGAATAATATATTCTCTCACTTCTCAAATTATGTGCTTAGTAAATCTTAATTTTTTATCACTTCTCAATTCTTACAATACTATTAATTCTTAATTATTTCTCTTATTTTCAATCAAATAATGGTAATATGTATTTAATGTTCTCCAATATCTTTTTTTTCTCAACTATTTTTTCTATTTATAATCTATTAATGGTAATACGTATTTAATGATTTTCAATATCTTTTTTTTCCTATATATTGAGTTAATTATTTTTTTTCAATTTATAATATACACTTTTAAATTCTTTTTTCCTCATTTGCTCTTTCTTTTGTTAATTTCAATTTTTCTCCAAAGATACGTTGGAAATCTATTATGTTATTATCTTTATAAAACCATGAGCTTTATTTGCTGTTCATAATAAACATTCAACAATTAGATATTATTATTTTAATCTTTATAGGTTTTTTACTTTAATTTAAAGTATATATTATATTATTATATTATCTCCATTTACGTCATAGTTGATGTATTGAATTAGAAATCTAACTATTTTTTTTTTGAATTTTAATAAAAAAGATCTCATTTAAATTTTTAGCTTTCAAGCTTTTAAAGTTATTGAGCCGCCTATATATATATATATATATATATATATATTTTCTGTTAAATAAATCTTATGACTAACATGACATGATACTTGTCCTTATAAATGGTGAGACTATCATGTGATGATACCATCTTGTTATATCATTATCTATCATAATAACTCAATATGTCAAATAAATGTCACATAATATAAAATGATAAAAATAATTTTGCTTAACGATAATTAGTTAATTCTTAATTATAAAAAAACTATTTAATCTAAAATAAAAATATAAAAACTTAATTGAACATAATAAAAAAATAAAAATTAATTTAAAATTTTTAAATAATTCATAACTTATTTAAGTATTATACTTTTTATTTTTACCTTTCAAAAAAATTATATTTTTCTTTTAGAAATAGGGTTAATTAGTGGAGAGGCAATGATTTTCAAAAGAAATTTGCTAAAAATCTCAACCGATTCATCAGGTCTATCAAGATGGTGAAACATAACTAACAACAAAAACAAAAAATTAAAAGCTGTAAAACCCCACAATTAGGAAATTGGGAAATAATTAGTAAGATATATTGGGAAATGTATCCCATAGTATATATAGTAAGAATACTAATCAACTAAGCACATGGTTCCACATATAAAGGGATACTCCCCATATATTTTTGGGGCATGTTCTTATTATGAGTTGCCCTAGATCCGAGAATCCATCGAGATTCATAGTTTCCTTATCTTTATTTCACAAAAAATCTGGGTAACCTGAACTTTGAACTGGAACTAGCTACAAATTTGCTCTTTTCTCGATATACAAAATTACCAGGATCTATATATCTATGAAAAATATTTTGTATAAGAATTAGTGCATGTGGGAGTGCAAACATTATTGGCAGCGTGAGACTTGGTGAATCAGTCCATGTGCCTTTACCAAATTATTGCGCAGATAAAAATGGAAATTGCCATGTGTGACCCAATCATATTATCCATCAATCTTTGAGGTTATCTTTCCTTTCTAAGTATATCTAAGGCTCCTTGTGAACCTAACGGCTTTGAAAGCAATCGAATTTTCCCAAGGTTTTTCTCTAGATTTTCTTAAATTAGTTATAGTATGTAATCCATTAACCAAAACCCAAAAACCAAAAACTGAATAAATTCCTAGAAACAGCAGTTTTGACAATTATTTTTTTTAAAAAAATACTAATAGAACTTTCCCAATTGTTCTAATTGTTCTCTCAAAGAGTAATGATGTAATTTCCAATGTGGATATATAGTTCGGAGGTTGAATAGATTGGAAAGTAAAATTATTCAATGGTTCCAGATGGAATGGGGAAAATGAAGCCCAACGTTAATATTGACTGTTCCTAAGACAAAACTTTTGAATGATCAATGCCGGAAATCTAATTGTAATGCTAGCCAACCGTATATACATGACGTCTTTGATGAGATTACGGAGATAGCAACTGGGACTCACATGAATATTGTTTTATTTCATCTAAAAACTCATCACATGAATTTGCTGCTTTGTTATCTGAGGCATCAACATTTGGAACTCTACCATGGATGTGTTCACATTGCGCCCGTAAATGTTTAGACTATTAGATAGTGAATAGATGAGAGAGAGAAAGAGGAGGAGATAAGCTTTTGAGCTTTTTGGTCAAGGCCATGTGAGTGTTTCAGGAGGCGGGCCATCTGTTCAAAGCCATGGCTGCCTATAAATACAAACACCAACAAGGCTTTCAACTCCAAGGGACTATCATTCTCAGTTCTGTGAAGCAAAACCCACTTTCGATCAGCTTCTTTTGTTTTAATTTTTTTTTCCACTTCAACTCAATATCAGATATGGGTATCCGTTTACCTTCCGTGATTCTTCATGCCAAGCAAGTTCTCAAACTGCAGTCCAGGAACCAGATAAATGTTCCAAAAGGCCACATTGCGGTCTACGTTGGGGAAATCCAGAAGACAAGATTTGTCGTTCCCATATCATACTTGAACCACCCTTCTTTCCTAGATTTGCTCAACCGGGCAGAGGAAGAGTTTGGCTTCAATCATCCGATGGGCGGTCTTACAATTCCGTGCGACGAAGATGCCTTTATCGATCTCACTTCTCGGTTGCATTCCTCCTGAAAGATGAACGAGAAAATGATCTAGCCAGAATTTTAGAAGATTTGTTAGTTAAATTCTTTCAATCCCTTGTAGAATATACAAGAAATGTAAATCTCTAATGCTTTTGAACACTTGACATGATAGTGAGTGAAGAGATTGATTGTACATGCTCTCTCCCACCAAGATGTTGTCAATCAATGATAATGAAAAGTCTTTGTTATTTGAATATTATTTAATTCTCTTCAATATTGGTTCTTGAGTTTGTGAAGATTCATATTGCTGGCATATAAAACAGAGTATCATCAATTAATCATGATAGCTCCATTCATCAAGAATTCTGATTGATAGTTACCTTAAGGTTAACTTATTCTGAGAGGCTTTGCACCCAACAATGGAGGAGTGAAGAGACAAAAAAAACTCATAAAACAAGAGCCATGAAAACCTTCAATCATTACCTTGATAAACATTAGTAAGTTAGGGTATATTTTGACAAACTACAACACTAGATTGCTAATATATGAATCAAAGTAAGATTTCGCTGCAGAAAAGTAAACTTGGCAATTTTGACATTGTCCTTAATTTGTGATTAGACGGTAATAAACTGTGAAGATTTAGGCTGAGAAGCCTTCTATCTATATAGTTTAATTAAGCTTAAAATCCTATCATATTCTTGTTTAATTTACAAACCATAATTCTTGTTTAATTTATCTTTTGATAAAATGAAAGATTCCAAGACTAGATAAGTGCGTTCCAGCCCAGATTAAGCACCCAGATTATGCTGATTGATGGCCATTGAGTTGTGTTAGTCAATCAGTCTTCTTTTCTGGCTCTCTCGGGACTCGATGACAGGTATGAACAAGTCACTGCTCGCCAGGGACTGTGTCAAATTACAACAGATACGACCTGGCGGCCTCAAACCACACAATTCCACTGTGTCACCCCCTAAAAGCAGCGGGTCCACTGTTATCTTTGTTGCACAAAATGCTCCTCAGATGGACGTGTGCCACTTTCCTCTGTCCAGTGTACGGCAACTGAATTGAGAGCTTACCAAATACTGAGAAATGACAAGTCCTGGAGGTTGGAGATGTCAGTTGGGCACTGACTAGGAAGCAAAAAGGATGGGTCTCTTTCTCAAAAAAAAAAGGGTAGATAAAATGAAAAGGATCAAATGAGAGAGCGCGTACGTGAAGAGCAGGAGAGGTTGTTGAGCTTGGTGAGCAAAGCCATGTGAGCTTTTGCATAGGAGGGTCCTCTCAGGATCCCCACTTCTATATCTGCTGACAACACACGTATAAACCATTTGGTTTTTTATTATTTGAAATCATGGTGCAACCTCTAGGAATTCTATATAAATACAAGAAGATAGCGGCTCCATCCCCCTGCTCCAAGGCTTTCTGCACTTGTAAATTCAAACAAATTTCTAGTCCAATTTTGTGACAATCATCATGGGTTTTCGTTTGCCATCCATTATGGTTATTGCTAAGCAAATTCTTAAAGGCAGCACCCTCGGTCGGGTGTGCCAAAAGGACACATTGGTCCAAAGAAACCTGTTTGTCGTTCCGATCTCTTTATCGAACCATCCTTCATTTGCAGTTGCAGACTTGCTCAACCAAGCAGAGGAAGAGTTCGGCTTCAATCACCCAATGGGCGGTTTAACAATACCATGCAAAGAAGACACTTTTATCGATCTTGCTGCTCGGTTGAATGCCTTGCTATGACAGAAAGGAACAAAGAAATTCCTGTACAATTTTGACAAGCTCGACGTTACTCGTTCCTTTCCACACTTGTAAAATAAAGAACTTGTGGCCAACCCCATGTATGTATAGCCCGCTCCTGTAAGTACTGAGCAGACCAACATCTGATTCTTGCATTTTAAACCTCTTCATCTCTGTTCGCACCAACATCAGGTTGTAGAGCTAGTTTTTTGGTTGAAATTTGCTGAAATCCACGCTATGAAATGACCAAAACTGCGAGTTTGCTTACACAGTGTGTGCCAAGTCAATAATAACTTAATCACTAACAAGCACTTGTTGGAAATATGTCAACTCTGTTTTCTGCCTTAATATATAGAATATTTTACAAGGTGGTTTACGATGCGATACATAACTTGATGTGACAACCCTCGGAGAGATACTTATTATTAACCTTGACGACTGATTTAATGTGGTCAGATGTTATACTTCACAAAATGAAGATACGAAATCCCTCCCCCACCCTCTATACACCAAAGACCATAAGATCAGATTCTCTGTTTACGACCCCAGCAACCACTCCTCAATCTAGCCACTAAATGGGAGCTTCTGCCTTTTATTTGCACTTTCCTTGGATTCCAAGGTAGCAACCAAAGCATGACCAAGAGCATGAAAGTGGAAATCAGTGGTTGAATTGCTAAAGAGCGCCGGCTTACATTTGAGGAAACACAAAACTAATCCTTCCAAGTTGCAGTTCTGAAAATTCTGCGCTTAATCCAAAGACAGATTGCCAGCTCGAATGTTGCGTTGCTGATGGGAGATTCCTTTTCCCAATTGCATTCGGGAGGCATTCCACTCTCCTGGTTTTCCAGTGAAAGGAGAAGCACGCTTTGGTTGAAACCATCTTCTTAATGCAAGTCCATTGATTCTGATTTTCCCGAACGATTCATTCCCTTGGTATGGCAATCCAATCCTTCTCAATAATGCTGCAATTGCCTGGCCAATCCTGTCCACCAAAATTAATTGACATAAAAGAATTATCAATCCATTATAATTGATGACTAAAATGGACTAAAACAAAGAGGTTTGTCAAAATATCTTTCTCATTTTATGACATATAACTTGATATGGCATCTCTAGTTTCCGCTGCAAAAATAACTAAGTATATAATGACAACTGTAGACCATCAGCAGCTCATAACAGGCTAGCTCTTTGTTTTCTGTCGGAACATTCTTTTTTATTCTTAATTTTTAATAAAAATTACTTTCTGAACCATTAAATTAACCGTTTAATAAACTATTACAGATATCTAGCATTGATAGTCTGGTGTCTCCTATAAAATACTTGAGGGAAGTGTGGTATGTTTATGTGAATGCTTATGCAAGTAGAAACTCCTCTGACCTTCCAGCAAGATTAATTGATTTCTCCCTTTCAGGGGTCAAGACTTGTGCCTTCTCCAAGGGCAGTAATACAGATATACTGGGCAATTTTGCACCTACACAAAAACCAGGGTACCCAAGAATACCAACAGAAGTTAGTAATTCAACTGCGCAAGCTATCACCAGCAATGCTACAAATTTTGTCCAATTTAATAAGTTGTTTCTGTCATTTGATTATCACTATCACAAGAAAACAATCCATCCTAATCTGAAAAAAAGATATGTATACAAAATACTTTACAGTCTTATGTTAAATGCTTCTCGTAAGGGATAACTTAAAAGTCGGGCAAATCCCAGAGCTAACAAATAACACAGAATAAAAGGAGATCATATTACCAGCAGCAAGCCGATGCTTGAGACCTTTCAATATGGTTAATAGGTAAACCTGAAATTTTTTTCATAGGAATTAGTAATATGAAATCTTTAACTAAGGCAGTAGATAGTTGCTTCAATTAGCCATACACACAAAGTATAAATTGTTAATGTTGAACAAGTTTTGACATTTTATTCATTTTTTTCTTCATTACAACTAATAGTCATATCTTTATAATACCATGTAGGAATTTGGAACAATAAAGAAAACAGATTCTTATCAAAATTGAAAAAAAAAAAAAGAATGAGAAAAGAAGAAAAAAAGCAAGGAAGGGAAAAGAAAAAACAAGGAAATGTCTCAGGTTAATCAAATTCCAGCAGTTAGAAACAATAATAGTTCTACAAAGATCAGCAAAGAAAATCATAAAGACCAAGCAGTTCAAGGCTTCAAGCATTCATATTGTTGGTAAACTACAAGGTGTGCAGTGCTTCCAAGTTCCAATGCACTCTCATAGGAAGCAGTAAGCCTTAATGCATGCCAAACATAAACTTCCTTAATAATAAGCAATTTTTTAATAATATTTCGTATAATAGAGAGATTCACACACCTCCGCCATATTAATTTGCAACTCTCTTGCATCAACAACAATAGGACTTTCTTTGAAGGATACACATGGAACAATCCCAAAAGACGCAGCCTCCTATAAAAGGGTAACAAGCATTAAATAAAACACCCTTTACTTTCAAAGCTCGAGCACAAAGATATGGCTGACTACAGTTGTTCATTACTTACCTCAAGTAATGAAAAAGCACGAGGATCATATTCACCAAATCCATCTATCAACGAACTGAGGCTAGAGCATCTTGTTGCATCAGGACTAACTTCCAGGTTCTCAACGAGTCTACTTTTCAAAGAATCATCACGAGGGAGCTGCAAACATCCTAAAATTTGTGAAATAACTTCCATGGTAGGTACTGTACCAGCAACAATAGTTTCACGGTAGACTGCCAGGGCAACGGACGTCCTAAAAGAAAGGAGGACATTAGACATCAGTTATAACCAAAACTTTTGGTAGAAATAAATATAGAAAGCAGCTCAAAGTGAGGAAGTAGAAAGCTTCTGCTCAGATCTACATCCTGCAACAGGAGAGAGAGCTTTGTGCACATTCAAAAAGATCTTCCCCATTCATTATTAATCATCAAAGTCATATTTTTAAAAAATTAAGATAGCTATAAAAGCCTCTAGAAACAAAAAAAAAAAAAACTTTATTGCCATGAAGTTGGAAAGTTAGCCCTACTCCCACCCTTCAGGTAATCACTTAAAAAGTAAAGCGAAAGCTAACACAACTAAAAGGGAGTAAAGTATAATCTCCCCTTAAATATAGAATACAGACAAGTTGCGGAGTAATCTCCTCCTCCCCCTCCCCCCACTCCACTCCAAAAAAAATCTGCAATTTTGCACTTTTACTTTAATTTGTCTACTAAGTTGTTCACAATGTATTTGATTAACATAATACTTGTACTTGTCAAAGGAATCAAGTACCATTTGTTTTCAATATGCGGCCGTCCTGAATTGAAAGACAAAACAGGCTCACCAACCTTACAAGCCTTCTCAAATCTTCGCAAGCACATACCTTCAAAGAGATAATATTGAAAGAATTAATATAACATCCTTGAGGATGATGTGTATGTCTGAGTGTGTGTACATCATAAAATTATCTTGAATTACAAAAAGTAAGGCATCATGTCTTTTAAATCAGTTTAAAAAAAAAATTAAAAAAGGTGTATA